CAAGCATACTCGCAGGAACGTATTGATAATATGGGAGATGGTTTGTTTGTAGAAGTCCCAGTTTAAAAGCTATCTCTTGATGGATGATTTTCCCTACTGAGTCATGCCGTTCCTTATATTCAATTGCAGCAAATGCCTATTAGCAGCCCCCTGAAGGATGGTTGATGGTTTCTTTCTGTTTTAGGGAACATTTTTCCTGATATCTTTCCGAGATAGTCTTGACTGACTTCATTGGGATGTCGCCCGTACAGAGGATTACCCATCCAGATGCGAATTTTTTCGTTCTTATTAAGATGGTTCATGCGCATATCTTGTTCCCTTAGTTTGATCGGTGTTGTGTGACACAATCAATCGAATCTGAGATTTTTTAAGGTCAGTAGGTTAATATGTTGGTTTATCCATTGAAAGTTTACCTGTAATTAAATTTATCGGTGTGATCTTCCAGGGTTAATAATATAAACATCCATTTGAATCGCTGAGAAGTTTTTTTTTATTTTTTTGCTGGCAAGAATTGATTCATTCTCGTTAGGATCGCTGCCACCAAAGGTAGTCGATTTTAGCTTGGGTCCAAATTTTACATAAAATTTGTAATGTCTTCGTTGTTCGTTCTTTTTTATCATGGAAAATGTGTAGCAGTATAATGTATTGTGGCGGTTAATGATTCAGTAAATGTTTTGAGTGAGGATTGGAAGAATCGTCGTTTCCATCCTCGTTTTGTTTCTCCCTGGTTGTAATCCCAGGCTTTTTGTCAGTTTGGAGATGAATTTGTTCGTGTGTTCGTTACACAGAGAGTGAAGCCCAGTTCTACCCCAGAACCACCAGTGACGTCCAATTACAGAAAATTCAAAGTGTTTCAGTGAAAAATCCAGGTAACTTTTTGTTTTAAATTTTAAAGTAAAGACAGACATTTTTTTTCTAAAGTAATAATTATTAATAATTGCTCTTATTAAAATTTAAAAAATTATAATACTTAATATTGTAAATTTTACGATTCGACTTAAGCTGTCATTTTAATTTTTTTTTGTTTTAAATTTAATGTTAACATAAGGCAGCTCGCTTTATTATTATTTTTTTGACTTTAGTTTGTTTTATTTTTCAAGAAGGTTAACCTCCATGCAATTTTGTAAGTTCTGTAGTAACAGAGTTTGTAAACGGCTAGGACACATGTAAGTTTTTTTTGGTATTCTTGTTCTCTGTTAATTTTATGTATGTTGTAGAACTATTAATCTATATAATAATTTGTGCCATTTATATTTATAACTGTTTGTGGTAAGACACAATAAATGTTAATGTTTTTTAACATTTTGTTTATTTTTTTAACTAACCTTTTTTTTGAGTTTCATTTGAAAAAGATATTTTTTGCATTTCTAATAATTATTTCCCTAGTTAAAACTAGTTGTTGTAATCGTCATAATTTGTCACCTCGAAGCGGCGTCCTTTTTAAATTGCTAGAGGTGTTTCGTTTTGTTTTGTTTGTCCCAAGAGATTCATGACTCTTTGTTTCATTTTTTTTGTAGTTGTCCCAATCCGACCCCTTGCAATTTACTTATCCACGACCCCAGCTCTCCAAACAAAAGCCTGAGTGCCGTTCGCATCAGTATCGATTATTTTACTTGCCCTATCTCCACTGACATAGTTTCTGTCCCAAATTTTCTATAGTAATACCCCATATAGTAGGCAAATATATTCGTTACAAATAAAAGTAAAAGTAGAAGAAGAACTAACTGACCCTAATAAAGCTGGCAATGGGATAAAATAGGCAGATTCTCTGAGTCCTTTATTGTTCAACCTGAACGTTAATAAAATTATAAAAAGTAAGGACTAAAAAAGGATACCAAGGGGGAGAAATAGACGACGCAAAACCCACAGACGATGCAATACTACTCTCTCAAAGTGAAGATGATTTACAGTGAAGATGATGTATGCTACATCCATTTTAAAATAACCACTAGAAAATTTAACCCTGTAATTTTCCCAAAAAAGACAATATGCTTTGTTATAACAGCAAATTTACTAAGATGTAAATTGCATTTGAAAGGTCAGATATTTATATTTAAGCATCACATTATCTAGCTACGAAAAGCTCGAAACGAAAGTGGAAGATCTAGTGAATAAAACAAACAGAGCCGCAGGTTTCCTGAATTAAACAACATGGAAAAAAATATCGGGAAAGAAATGAAAGGCAGAATCTACAAAACTGTCATCAGACCAATCATAACATACGCACGACAGGCAGAACTACGACCTGTCACAGAAAGGACAAAAAGGATGTTGCATGGTGACAAATAGCAGAAATAAAAGAAGTGTAGATAGAATTACAGGTATACGACGTAGATGCATGGTGGTGAACATCAAGGACTGGGTAAGAATAGAAGATCGTGGAACGATCATATAAGCCGAATGACAACAGAGTAGTAAATCCGGCAAGAGACGGTTTTACAATACGAAGACGATCAGTAGGAAGACCATGGAAACTTTCTGGAGGCACATTGAAAAACAGAGATGAGTCATGTCTACAAAGAAGTATTTGTTTTTATATTTGCGTACTTTGTATATAATGGAATGATAAAGATAATTAACTACATTAAGAGTAACAAAAAAACCAAAAAAATGAATTATCATCAGAAGTATTTTTGGGGTATTTGAATGTTATTCAGTTTTTACAAATATAATTGTTCAATATTCTGCATATCCCTGACAAGCTTATCCAATTAGGGCAGCTTTAGACTTTTTTAAAAGCAAATACTTAAAATCCTGTACTGACCACAATCAAATACATTCTTGTGAAAATGGTCAGATGTTCGCAATTTGAGGATAATACGGCAACAGCGTCGGACGCCCGAGACAGCTCGAGACGCGATGACGCGTCCTGCGGTCGATATGTCGGGCGTAGCCGACGGACAGAACGACGCCAATGTCTTCGACTGACTCGATTTTATTCCATGCGATGCCTGTTCTCAGACGTAAGGTGACGACAACATCGACGACGGCAATTCCAGGGTGTCATTAACGAATGAACGTCCCGTAGTGGAGCGCCCTTCCTGCGTCTTGCCCTACTGCAGGATTATAGTTGATTCGGGTACATAACCGATCCGCTATTTCGTCGATAGATAAATTTTATGTTGCTGGCTAGACTCAGATCCGCAAAATAAATACATAACTGCGATATGGCAGTAAATGTTTACGTAATTAGATATTTTATATCCGGCATAAGAAGAATTTATTAAAAAGATATATCTAAAGGCCATTTAACTCTTCTTCTTCTTCTTAGAGTGCCGTCTCTCTAAGGAGGTTGACAATTATAATGGCTATTTTTATTTTTGAACTAGCTGCTCCAAACAAATCAATCCATTTGCGTGATATCTTCGTTAAATCTTTCTCCGTATTATGAGTCTCAAAATTACATATTTTGGTCTCCTCATCACGTGCCATGGGTATTTAAGTTTTCTTGTTTGTATAGTGGTGAGTTGTGTTTCTTTACTAACCTTCTCCAGTACTTTTTCTTTGAGTTCGAAAGACACGATTCTTTTTAAATGCATTTTTTATGTTCAAGTCTCAGCTCCATATATGAATTTGGAAATATATAAAATCGAATGGTACGTAGTGTAATTTCAAAATTAAGATTAGGAGTAGTGTTGCCCAAATGACAGAATAAGACGAGACTTGGACAGTCTTGGTCTTGTTCTTGCGCCAATACACCTGGTCTTGGTATTGCTCTCCCGGTCTTGGTCTTGGTCTTGCAGCAAAAGTCTTGCAAATCTCGTAGTTACCCATTAATTTAGTAAACGTTACTTTAGATCTTAAAACAACGGAACAGAGTAGGTACATTTTAAGTATCAATTAACATAGCCATAATAAATACCAACCAAATTGCAAAGCGATCTGTGCCTATGTTCTAACTAACCGAGCTATCTACCATGTCCCACGGGAGTCAATCTGTTTTTAATATTAAAAAGCTTACATGCACTAAAACATGGTTAAAACACAAAAAACGAAATTAATGACATAAACTTGACTGCATTTTAAGATTAGATAAAAAACATTTATTACAGTAGACTCGAAGATAAGCTCAATGGGAAAGTGAAGTTTAGTGATGTCGAAAAAGTAACTACTCGTTACTTTATATTCGTTACTATCGAATACCCTAATTATAACCGAATACCAAACCGAGAATTATACATACATATATTATACTTCATTACTTATTTCGGTATTTTGTTTACACGGTAACCGGAATTACTTGTTAATAATTTTAATTTGTCTCGTTTCTTTTAAATACTAGCCGCGCTCTTTTAGCAAATTTTGTTTAAATGAACGATCTCATCGCAGACTCAGCAGAAACGATATTTAGTCTTAAGCCGATAAAATTTGCAGTATAGATTACTCCTAACTAAATTAATAATAAGGAAAGAAATTGAATTATTAAGTGGGTGTTATTAAGTGGATTATCGGCTAAAGTGACATATTTTTTAAAAGTTTCGATACGATTTTATGATTAGAGGGCGGCTACTCGTATTCTCAAAGTCTGGACACTTAATTTTAGAGTGAAGAAGTCGTCTGCTGGGAAAGAATGTACAAAATGTTTTATTTTTACATTGTAATTTATGACGTCTGAATACAAATTGTGATATAAAATAAATGTGTTCTTTAATATTAGTTTTGTATACCAGTAGCGGTATCTAATCTTAAAATACAGTCAAGTTTATGTCATTAATTTCGTTTTTTGTGTTTTAACCATGTTTTCAAATTAAATTCACCTACAATCACAGATATTTTATTACGTTTTGTTTACGTTTATTACAATAACCATCCAACGCCATATATCTAAATAAAATAAAATAAAATCAATACATATCATACGTTTTTATAGAAACTTCTAATCTCCAAACTGGCCCATAATATTTCACATTACTTTAGAAACAGCCTGTATAAAATATTTTAAATTTCAAATAGGCGGTTCATTCAGCGACATCTCTTGACATTGCTGTTAAACAAAAAAGATTTTAATTTTTAGGTTATATTTTTGGATTTCAGGAATGGTTATGTTATTGTATTAAAAAAAAATTAAATCGTTGTATTAATATGGCTCTTGTATTGTCGAATATAGCGACTAAGTCTAACTTAAAAGTGATAGAGGAAAAATTGTTTGCTTTGAGGTAGGTAAAAATTAAAAATGTAAAGTTTTAATAAGTATTGAATCAGAACTTATGTTCTACACATACCTACAATTGATGATCTTTTTTTTAAATTTCATGACATTTTTTTTTAAATATCCGCATCAACCACGCACTGTTATTAGTTTAAGGACTAGAATAGATTGGAGTTATTATTCCAATTTATTCATTTCTATCACATCTCTTTATTGTAAAAAATTTCCAAAGTGTATTAAAATCACTAGAAAGTGCTAGTTATTGTCATTTTTCTTTATATTGATTCTACTGAAGTCAGTGGGATGTCTTGTTAGTGATCAGGTTAACTTCGACTGATTTCCAAGAATCAAAAACAAATTAAGAACTGACCTAATAAGTTTTGACTTCTTCCAGTGTTCTTATATCAGGAATATTGTGTCTCTGGTGTTAATATTAGTTATTTCTGGAGAATGTTACTGTTTATTCCTAGTAATAATGATTATGGTACACACACTTAATATTACAGTGTATCTTATATTAGTTGTTATGTGACATTTAAATAACAATTTGACTGGGGATTCTATGTGTAGTGCTTTATTTATTTGGTATTCTGAGATATTATTCTACAGAATGGTAAAGTGACATCTTTTATATCTTAAAGTGAAAATAAAGAAGTAATAAATACTTTCTTTTCAGTATCTGCAATAGCAATCAAATAAGATGTATGGCTAAACTTAATCCTCCACCTAGACTAAGAAATCCTACATGGTTTACAAAGAAAGTGATAGTTGTAAGTATAAAAATAAGGGTAAACCTCTTATAATAAATCGTAAATGCTCAAATCTTTATTCATATTTTTCTAACTTATTCAAATATTGATCCTCAGATTTTAGTAGTTATTATTTTTTTATGTTATTAGTTTTGTGTTCAAAGGGTTTCCTTGTACTTTTGAACTAATTTATTTGTATTTGTTTATCTCATTTACCATTATATCTATAGTAGTAAACAGGTCATCTCAGTACCCTTAGATCTTTGGTCTCTAAACAAGAAATGCATTTAGTGTTGTGAAGGTCATTTATCGCCAATAGAAAATGCATCAAAACAAAACATGTTTCAGATTAATAATTTACCTAATAGTCGTAATGTCTTTCTAGACATAGTATTTACAAATTTAAACAATGTTGATGTAGTTATTCCACTTGATTCAGTATTTGATAATAGCATACACATTGAAAAGCATTATCAACGGAACTATGAGGAATTTTATTATGATTTTAAAAATGCAAATTATGTAGGATTAAATTATTACTTTGCTAGTATTAATTGGGAATTTTGAGAGCTTTTAATGTGTTGACAACTGGTGCTGTTGATAGTTTGCTGAAGGAGTTAGAAGTAGAAATGTAGCTTCTTCAATACACAGTCAAATATGCTTATGCAGTTCTAGTTTATTGATCAAAGGAGATCACTTTTTCAATCATATTCACATTTTTTCTTTTCTTTTGACGCTATTTTGATGCCATCACAGTTTTGAATGCCTTTCCAATGCCTTATCTATTCATTACATACAACATTTTTTCATTTCCTGTTTGCATGAATGGTGACAGAAGTGACTCATGTTAATTATTTTCTATTGTGTTGTTTTATGTAGACAAGAGATGAAGAAATAACCAAAGAAAATGAGAAGTTTGTCCAAGAAGTAATACAGGATAAGTACAGTAAAATATCGCCAAAAGGTGAAGTTGCCACTAATATTGAGTGGACACCGGAGATGCAAAGAACTGGAGTGATAGCAAGAAAGATCGGGGTGTATCCTCTATGGCTAAAGAATGGTAAACATATACAGACCACGTTACTACAAGTAAGGAACAAATCTTTTGTTATATAAATTTAGGGGTTGTTTAATAATCTTTTTTTTGTCCTTTAAGGTATTAGATAACCACGTCATCAAACAAATAGCCCCTGACGAATATGACTCTCCCAGAAAAAGAGTATTAGAAGTACGCAACAAGAAAGCTTGTTTACTGTTGGGTGCTGAAGGTGCAGATCCTTCCAAGTTTACTAAAGAATACTGTGGTCTCTTCAAAGAGTCTGGGGTCATTCCAAAACAAGTACTTGCTCGGTTTTTTTGTAAGTCCTGACGCAGTGCTACCTTTGGGCACACTAATTTCTGCCATGCATTTCCAAGTAGGCAATGCTATAGACGTCCGTGGAAAGACGTAAGTAGGTCTTAAAAGATTACATCACTCAAAAAGTCCTGGGGCTAATAAACGTGAATTTGAACTCAAATTTTTAAATAATAATTAATGTTTCGGCAACATGCTCCAAACGAGACTAATTGGTGTTGCATTCTATAACATACCTGCGACTATTTAGTGATAGTTTAAGTTACTATTGCTGTTCTTCTCTATTCAAAACAACTAAATATGTTTCTGATTGTAGGATTGATCGTGGTTTCCAAGGAGTAATGAAGCGCCACGGTTTTAAGGGAATGCCCGCGTCTCACGGTGTCACAAAAACACACAGAAGAGGAGGTAATATAGGAGGCGGTGGCGAGAAAGGAAGAGTGTGGCCTGGAACGAAAATGCCTGGGCATATGGGCAACCGTTTTAGAATAGCCAAAGGAGTGAAGATATTAAGAATAAACACGAGGCACAACGTGCTTTGGGTCACGGGTCAAGCTATACCCGGCGAGACGAACTCTATTTGCTTTATTTATGATTCAAAGTTGCCCTTACGGAAGCCAGAGAAGCCCTTACCTTTTCCGACGTACTTGGGTGGAGTAGACGATAGTGTTCCTGAAGATATTTATGATGATAGTATCCATAGTTTTAGTGATCCTTCTATTGTTTTTAAAGAAAGTAAATAGATGTATATAATATATATTGCACTAGTTGATTTGTTAAATAAACATTTTATTTTTACATTGATCCCCTTAGTCTCTATCTAGACTGCTATCTATAATCAAAAAGTAACAAAACACAATTTTTATTTTTACAGTTGTATTTTATATTCGAAATATTCTTCACTTCCCCATTACATCGATATAAAGTTTTATTGTGTTATACAGAGAATTTATGAAGATAACCAATTTTCTACGGAAATCCTAACAAGGTCAACTCTCTGTACGCTTAAAAAGAAACACAATAACAATGCTCTATTGCTGCCACATTTATTATTGTTAAAATTTTCAAAAATGATTGATATTGCTAATTTTTGTTTATATCGAATACAGGGTGAGTCAAAACGCAAGTACATTATTTTCTTATCATCATTCTGGCCTTACAACCCTGCGTGGGCCATATTTTATATTTCATAATCAACATATTTCTCATGTCTTCATCGATGTTATCAAGGAACCTTGTTCTGGGTTTTTCTCTTCTTCTCTGACCAATGGGTCGTGTATCAAGGAGCGTTTTTCTAGCTGGGTTATTTTGTTCCATCCGCATTACATGGCCTAGCCACCTCAGACGTCCCATCTTAATATGTTTTACGATATCAGGTTCTTGGTATATTCTATACAGTTCGAAGTTGAATCGTCTTCTTCACACCATATTGTCATTCAATCCTCCATAGATTCTCCTTAGTATTTTTCTTTCAAAACATACTAACATGTTTTCATTACTTGTTATTCAGGTTTTTGAACCATATGAGAGGACATCGTATTATTGTTGTGTAGAGTTTTATTTTTGTATTTCTCGATATAATTGTGGATTTAAGGAGGAGATTGAGCCCAAAATAGGATATGTTGGCCGTGCAAATTCTGCGGTAGTATTATTTTCAGTGTAAAGGATCGCTCCCAGGTATACAAATTCTTTCACTGCTTCGATGACGTCGTTTTCTGTAACAAGTGTTCGTGGGATTTGTGGTTGCGTGCTTATTTTCGTTGGTGTTTATTAATAAACCCATTTTTATAGCTGATTCTTTTAATGCTACATATGCCTCTCGTACAGCGTTTTACGTTTTCCCAACAATATTGATATCATCAGCATAGGCCAGGATTTGCACTGATTTATTACATATTGAACCAGTGGTTGTGATTTGTGACATACGTATTACTTTTTCCAGAGCCAGATTTAACAGTACCTATACAGGAGAGAGGGTTTCCCTGACGCAGCCCCCTATTTGTTTTAAAAGGTTCAGACAGTTCCCCCTGAATTCGTACTCTTTTTCAAGTTAGTTTTGTTAAATTTACCATTTGATTTGGTATTCCTAGCTCTTTCATTGCTTTGAAGGTTTCTCTTCTATTCGCAGGGTCGTAGGCTGTCTTGTAGTCAATAAATATGTGATGAGTATCAATGTCATATTCCAGTGTTTTTTCCAAAATTTGCCTCACGGTTGCAATCTGATGAATTGTCGATTTACCACCTCTGAAACCTGCCTGGTATTTTCCTAGTATTTTCTGTAAATTTCATACATTGATATTCTCAAAATTAAAAATAAACAATTAAATTTCTAACTGTCCTCTTGAAATAACTAATACATTAGTTAAAATATTTAATAATATGTCTTCTAACAAAAAATACAGTGATATTCTCCTGGGTTATAAAATACAAGCTGAAAGTTCAAATTTGCCAAAAGTGAGAAAGAAAACAATTCACTTAACCTGACTGTTACTCTTGAAGAATTGAATAATGCCCTAATGGAATTAAAAAACACCGGTCCAGGGCCTAATGACTCGTAGCAGTAACATTTTTAAAAAATCTTTACCCTTTCGCAAAACTATAACTACTTCAGGTCTTCACTTTAATTTCGCAAAACAAATTTTCGATAGAATGAGAAACCATCATTATGCACTTTTTAAAATCGTAAAAACCAAGTTTAGAAACTGAGTCTTATAGGCCTATCAGCTTAACATGTTCAACGAGCAAGTTAATAGAGAAAATGGTAAACCAAAGAGTGACACTTTATCGTGTCCAGACATGTCATTAATAAAATTTCGACTCAGTATCGGGCTACGTCGGTTCCATCTTTGTTGGCCAGCCAAAAGTCTTCGAGGCTACATCGATGATAACAGTTTCTGCATGTAAGAATGTTTGATTTTATTAGAGCGACCCCCGCTCTTATCCTATTCATAGTTTTTCACGTTTTAAAGTCTAGGGACTGGCCGGTCCATTGAACCCGGGGAAGAGCAAAATACTCATGCGGTTCATCCTGCACTGTTCCAAGGAAGCTTTTCCTGGATTTTTCGTGGTGTTAGAGCTTTGTATAGGGCATGCCGCTCGTCCACGATATGTTTAATATTCCCTATGTGCTCTGCAACGTCCCTGCGTGTTGAGGTATCTGCAAAACCGCTGGTTTATATAGATTTGAGAGTGACGTTGGTATTATCCTGCATGTCTCATTTAGCGCAGTATCAACTTGTTTGGTGTGGGTAGATCTGTCCCAAAAGGGGCACGCATATTCAGCAGTTGAGAAACAGAGTTCCTGTGGTGTAGTTCTTAAAACGTCAGGACGTGCACCCCATTTACTTCCCGTTTAGTTTTCCGAGTATGCTGTTCCTAGTTGTTACTTTCCCTCTCGTTTTTATGTAATGTTATCTGTATGTGAGGGACCGGTCCAGAGTTAGTACAAGATATATAGGTTGGTTTGTGTGTTCTAATGAATTACCATTCCACGAAATTTAGAGTTTTCGCTTGGCTTCCTTTGGGCGAAGGTTGAAAGCGCAGACTTGGGTTTTAAAAGGATTGGGTGTCAGGGAATTCTGTATGTAGTACGCTGTCATTGTTTTTAAGGCAGTTTCGAGTTTCTCCTTCACTTCTTTAAAACTACTTCCTTTAGCACATATTGCAAGATCGTCAGCATAGAGGAAGTGCTTGGTATTGGTCGGAGTAGGTTGGTCGTTTGTGTATATAATGAAGAGCTTTGGTGCTAAAAACACTTCCCTGTGGGAGGCCGTTTTTTGAACTTTCCACCTACTTACTTTACCCTCCAGCATAATGAAAAAACGTCTGTTTTGCAGTAAGGGAGATACGACCTTACCAAGATGATGGTGACTGAGAGTGTCGTATAATGTGTCATAGGCTGCTGTTTTTCTTCAAAGCACTCTTCAATGTGTTCTGTTAGTGCGAGGACTTGTAGGATGAGGTGCTTGTCGACATTTTTTTCTATTCTGGCGAATATTAGTCTCTCGTAGAGTTTGAAAAAGTAACACAACAGCGAAGTAGGTCTGTAGTTAATGGAGATTTTCTGGGTCGTTTCCTGGTTTTAACAAGGTTATTACTTTGGATTTTCTCCATGATTTTGGAATTTCGCAGGCTTTACAGCACGTGTTCTAAAGTTGCAAGATCCTGTTTTTTGCTCCTTATATATCATCTACACATGCAGCTTTCCCGTTTTTTAACCTGTTCATACCGTCATTTAGTTCTTTTAGTGTGAAAGGAGTTCCTAGGTGATTTGTCTCCGAATCCAATCTACTTCTAGTGTTTGTAATAGTTCTTCCATTCATAAGAAGCTGAACCCACTTGGTTTGCTGTAACCTTACAAGGTAGTTTATGATCTTTTGAATTACTGCTAAGTTTTTTTACAAGGTTCCATACTATTTTGCTACTATGTGTCATATCCATTTTTTCTAGGTTCTCAATCCACTTTTCATGTCTGGCTTGACTTAGCTGTTAAAGTAGTACTGCTCCGCAGTCAACCGTTTCTTGGCTAGAAGGGTCAGTGGAATAGAGGGTTTCGTATGTTTTGATTAGTTCTTTTTACTCGCTGGATTTCCCGGGAACATGTTGTCTACATCCTCTGGGGATAGCTTTTGACACATTCTTTGAGTACTTCTACAAATTTTTCGTAGTTCTCTATTTTTGGTTCAAGACGTAGCAGCTCAGAATCTAGCATTTCTGCATACTTGTTTGTTTGTTACTTTTGCCAGTTTGCCTTTTTTAAATTAAACCTCCTAGCTGGAATAGCTTGTCGTCTGACAATTGGAAAGATATTTATACCAATTGATCTATGCTGACTTTTTGGTATGGGGCCATATACTACTTTGGTACATCGGTCTTCGAGGTTATTGATGTGGATGATAGACACATCTAATCACTTAATATATGTTTATAAATACAATATTTAAACCAGGCAAAGTAAGAAATTCATGGAATGACGAAGGTATCTACAAAGACATCACAATGGAATTAATTGTTAATAAAATAATGAAATAAGGATGCCGCTGGAATTGTGAAATTCTTTAATAGTTCACAGAGTCATATTTCGTTTTTGGGAGTGAGTTACCCTCTCTAATAGGTATATTGTTGAACTATCCTTTGCAAACGGGACTGTTTTAACATTTTATATAATGACTTTTTGTTCATTTCGCTCTACGTTTTTTATAACTTCTACAATAATGGTTTAAAACAAATTTGCTTCAATAATAACCAATACCAATACTTTGCCTTTAGTAGGTTTCAGATAGTTGGAGTATTAGTCATATAGTGATGTTCTTTGGGAGGGATTATCCCTTTTTCGAGGGAGTTTTTTAAGCAAATGGGATAAAGGGATTTTTCTATCAAAATGGGGGATATTATCATATTAAGCAAAAGAACTTATTTCAGTACTTATTTAATTAATATTTACATCTTGTGACATCTATCGGCAAAACCTGTAAGTAATTTAGATTTCAATGGAGATTTCTATCTGGGTTAGAGTTTTTAAGTTGAGTTCTTAGCATGACCACAGGTCCCAATTTTAGCGGGACGCAGGACAGCCCCGCCAATTTTTAAAAATGTCTCGCTTTTTAGAAAATATCTACATTTCTTATCGTAAATGTACTGTAAAAATATATTACCTATTATTATGCTGAATATAAAGAATACAAAAAATAAACACAAATAAACTAGCCACAAACTAACAGTTAATAAGGCAAAATTTAATACCTACCCTCTTTTAGTAATTTTTGTACTAATTATTTTTAATTATTTCTAGTATTTACCCACAGAATAACAAATTAGTAAAAAAAGAGAATGCAAATTTAATGAAGGGCTAAGCATGGAAATTCCATTTATTAAAAAAACAAAAAACAAATGCTGAATTTTTGGTCTAACATAAAATCTTTTAAAAATTGCGAAAGCTGTATTATTTATCCTTTGGTTTAATTTGATATAATTATGTTTATCTCGACAGTGTTATTGTAATGTATAGAAATGTGTGTTCGCTGCGCCATCTCGCGATAAACGAAGATACCTATTGGGTAGGGATCGTAGGGATATTCCGATAAAAAGTGGGATAAATTTCGGATAACAGAGGGAGTTTCTCTGTACCATGCAGAACATCACCATATTCAAATATTATCTATTCTATTACGATATGATTACGATTACGTAGATACAGATATTTACCGACCGGTAACCTCATCTTGTAAAAAATGTCTTTATCAAGTCTATAGTAAATACTCACATCTAATTTATATTAATAACAACTCATATTAAAGTTATAAAAAATACCATTACTGTTACCCAAATAAAATGTCTTCGGAAAAGAAAGAATCTGAGGCGGTCATAAGAAAAGCAGAAAAAAAGGACATGAAGGCTGTGATGGCTCTAATAAAGGTAAGTACTTATGTACAGATTTGTTGATTAATATAATAATAACTAATACAAAACTGGCTTGAAATTTATTACGATAATATACCGAATTTTATTCTATTTATATTAGAATTGAAACAAATTATGTCACATGTGGACGTGTATACTAAACCGTTGTACGGAGAGAGGAATTGGAATGTGCGTTTCAGTTTGCTGACATCAATCAGTACATTTTAAACTCTATTTAGTATTATTTCGTCTTTACTTTTAACTTCTTTGTTAATAGTAAGGGAAATAAAATCTGTGCAAATATCGCAAAACGTTATTTTTATTCTAATTAGAAAATCCTTTATCTAGGATTCGAAAACTTCTATTTATTCCAATAAAATAACCTAAATTATTATCAATATAGTATAGACAATTTGCAGTTTTTGCAATAAAACAATTTACTCCTTTTTAGGAACTAGCTGCATTTGAAAAATTAGAGAACCAAGTTAAAATAGACCACACCGTTTTAGAAGAGGATGGTTTTGGCAGTGATGGAAGACCGTATTTTGGTTGCTTGGTAGCAGAACTACCGGACACGGGAATTATCGTGGCCTATGCTTTATATTTTTATAGTTACTCTACGTGGGAAGGAAAATCCATATTTCTCGAAGATTTATATGTTCAACCTGACTATAGGTGAAGTATATGCACGTTTTTCTGTTTCTTTCAGCTCACAATTTTGGACAAAAAATATGGGATAAACAATATTCTTATAATGTACCATATTAAGTAGCGATAAAATCGCATGTGAAATTTCCAAAGTGTTACGGGGATGCTTACAGAAATTAAATTAATTTAGCATTGAGAATTTAATTAATTTTCTAAATATAATAACGTATATCTTTGCAGGATACAAGGAATAGGAAAGAAGCTATTTTTAGCCGTGATGAAGACAGCTTTGGATTCGGGATATAAAAGGGTAGATTTCCACGTCCTAGCCTGGAATCCCGCAATTAGTTTTTACAAACGAATGGGAGCTGTCGATCTGTCAGAGAGTGAAGAATGGAAACTGTTCAGAATGGACCACTCGAGTCTAAAGGCGTTGTTCCAATAATTGTGATTTTATAGTTTTATAATAAAGTTATGATTATTTACTTACCGGTTTTTAGTTAACAACATATTGTTTTTTCTTTGTTTATAAGTCCTAGTTTACTTGCATCGTTCGTAAGGTATGTAAAACCTTACGAAATCGCCACTATAATGGTAAACAACTACCGTTGTTAGTTTTTTTCTTTCAATAACCATATGGGGCAGTTTTAAACATTATCATATGTTTTCTGATTTGTCATTGTTTGTAATTTTTTAGCTACATAACATCCGCGGTAGTTTGCAGGATGGTTTCTCCACAATGAACACATTTTGGTTTAGCTTCCGGTGGTTTTTGGCAATCTTTACCAATACATTTTACACATCTTGGCTCCTTTTTACAGTATTTCCACGTGTGTCCGTAATCCTGGCTCGATTTCAACTCTCGTACTAAGTATGTCTGTTTCTGTTATGCCGTAAATTCTATTTATATCTTCATCCCGTTCTAAATGTTAGGATAAACATATCTAGTTGTTTTTTAGTTTTCCATTTGAATTTCTTGTCAGCTTTAATGGCTTTATATTGTCGTTTTGTAGGTCTTTTACTATTTACTCTGGTGGATATGTATGATGTAATTTCTTAACAACAACTCTAATTGCTTATTTTCATAAGTGTGGTACGAAAATTTATTCGTATTTAATTTCTCTATTAAAGCTCTGTAATGATCGCTATTGGCTGTATTAATTATTATAACTTATAACTGTTTATGATTTTCATAGCGAAGTTAATATACTCTATTCCACGAATATAAGACTGTTTTAAATTCGCTTTAAGGTGTTGATTTAAATGGTCCAATGTACTGAATTGTACAATAGTAAATTCTCCCCATTTTAAAAATACTGTTACGATAGATATAAACCTTAGATTTAAATATGAAGTCATGATATAAATATAAAGTTAATAGTTTATAGAACAGTTGTAATTCAGATTTTGAAGTATATAATTACTATCATGGAGTTTAGTATTGTAAACAAGTTGGTTTTTGAATTATGTGATTTAAACGAAATATAACAATACTTAAGTGATCAAATAGCGTAATTTTTTTAGGTGAATAATCAATTAGTATTAAAAAAAAATAACTTATTCACATATTCTCTTAAGCTTCTAAAACTATCATCAACGATCAGATTCACAGCCATAATCAGTCGGCGATATATGAAACTGTAAATTTTCGTTACTTTTTAATATCTGTAACGACTCGGTACTTTAACTATCAATAGCCGGTATATTATACCCGTTACTTTCGGAACTTTTAAGAGTACATAAACTCAAAGCAAACAAATATTTAAAACTAACAAAGTGAAATATTAGATCCTTTTTCTGGTTTCTGAACCATCGTTCTGCCAATTTCTTTTCATGTATATTAAAAATAGTATATTTCTTTATATTAGAGTTGTAATACCTAATAAAGTCATAAAATAGTGTAATATCAAAGAAACCCGGCACGCCTCTTTGGTGTTTACATTTCACGGAAAGCTTACCCAAATGTCTAATGAACACATTTGGCGTCATAGACGTCATTGTATTTATTTGTAGATTTTAACTGAAATAATTTTAGTTTAGATGTCATACTAGTGGACCCTTTTTATTGGAATAATGATTGGACCAATTTACCTTCATACTTCTACTTGCACAGTAAAATATTCGTTGTCGCAGTAAATCAAAACAGTCGTATATTCGTGGAATAGCCTATACCAGCCTCAGTCAGAAGCTTGCTCAGGTCAACAGCACTTTGGAAACCCTCTACTACAACCGGAGGTGATGGTTTTGGTTTTTTTTGATTGGTTTATCAATGTGTGTTTCTGCAGTTGATTTTTTCGGTGAGAGAAAATATAATGAGGTACATTTTACGTTTTTTTTGTCACTGACAAAAACTGAATTAATTTTATTAATAAATTAAAAAAACTAAATTTAACATGTTATATGAGAACTTTATACAAATCTGTAGAAACGTTTAATACAGGATACAAAACTGATATATAGAACAACAGCTGCCGTGAAAATACAAATAAAATTCATTTCATTAACCTTATAATATGGAGCTAACTCAATGAGATCTCTATTTTATGCTTTCGCCGGAAATGACAGTCATAGAATATTGATAAGATGTATAGCAGTAAACTAGATGGTCAATGAGTAAGAGAAGTAAAGTAAAGAAGTAAATATTCAATGGTTGAAAGATTCTAGCATGCCAGAGGGACTTCCGAAGAAGTAGAAAGTGGTTTGTATGCTCAGAAAGTAACCAAAATGTATAATGTTGGTAAATTATAAGTATTGAAAAACATATATTGAATAATTGGAAGACTCTCAGAACGTAAGAGATTGATGTAAGCAGTAAGTAGATATTTTTTCAATTGGAGGGTTGAAGTGTAAAAATTATAAATAATAGACGGTTGTTAGCGAAGAAATCAACAGTCAATGTTGGGAGTTTCTAAAAATCGTCCGTCATTGATCAATTCCTCTCATTACCACAACAAACTTATCATTTTGGCCATCTCTGCGACATTACAGTTGACAAAACCCGTCTTAACGCAACCTGCTAGTCTTTTAGAAATCTTCGGTAATAGATTATTTGCTATTTTAGTCACTATCATCCAAAATTCTTCATTTGCGCAACTCCTTCATCATTCACTTGGTGACTGTACACCATTACTAGTTAAATGTGACGTCATATCCGGTCGAGAACATAAGTAGTCCATCTACTAACTCCATTTCATCTGAGATTTCCTTTGTATAAGCTGAGAGTAATAACTAATGAATATTCATTGATAAAGTACTGCGATTTATTTATTTAATTATAAAAATGTTTATTGACGATTTCAGAAAACTATGCCATGTTTTGCAGGTTTTTTATAAAGTGCTCGTCAAAAGTCCATCCCCCCCTCTCAACTAGTCATAACAGGTGACGTAATAGTGACAGATGACGTTACAGCGCCACTGTGACAGATAATTTTAAATGGGACATAATGGCAAGTGATACCTCGTTTGAAAGGTATTAAAAATACCTATTCAGTCTTAATAATTTTGTTTAAGATCATTTTGATGAATAAATTAAATAAATACTAAAATTGTAGCTTCTCATTTAATTAGTAAATATTTAACAACCAGTTCTTAAAGTAAGTGTTCAAAATGTGCTCCATCTACTTCCTGACTCAAATGTGTTGGGGGAAATTGACCTACATTCTTCACTAATTCGTTTCTTCAATGTCAATATTGTCGGGTGCTGTAGCGTAAACTTTAGATTTCAAGTATCCCCACAGAAAAAAATCTAACGGTGTGAGGTCTGGTGACCTAGCTGACCATTTTTTCATACCTCGTCTTCCAATCCATCTACCACGATATTCCTCATCCACTTGTTATGACTAGTTAAAAAACCTACGTCTGTTCATTACCTCTCTCCAAATTTCACTATTGTAAGTATAATCATTCAAAAGATACGAGAGGGGTAACGGACTTTTGACTAGCACTGTAACTTTAAAAATACTCACAGGATAGCATGAAAAATCAGAAAAATGACACACAACTGGATCCTCCTCCTCATTCCTTGAGCCCCTGTCAGGGCGTGGTAATACTCTAAATATTACTGACTTGTTGCCTCCATTGGCATCGATCCTGTGCCATATGAACGACTTCATGTAGGGATTTTCTCACCAGAGTTTTCATTTGTTTCCTCTTGATATTCGGCCTTTTACCTTTCCTTCTACTACCATTAGTTCCATGGTCCCCATGGACCATGGTTGGTTCTATGTTCTGTCCAGAATACGCGTAGAATTATTCTATAGATCCACATTTCGAAGGATTCGATCATACTCCTATCGATTTTTTTTTAGTGTCCATATTTCAGCTTCGTATGTAGTAATGGAAAGAATAAGGGCATTGACCAACCTGAGCTTAGTATCCCTTGTTATTGTTCAGAACTGGATACATAATTACAAAATGTCTACTACAGAAACTGCCGCAGAGATGGCGCTATTAATAACTAAAGAAGTAATTATGGGAAACGGGGTGTCTACTTGGGACTCGATAAATATTGATGAATAAGTCCAAATTTTGTCTTATTAGATACTAATATGAGACTTATTTAAGTGATATATTCAAAGGAACTACTACAATTGTAAACATAAGTTCAGAAGATTTAACTAAAATAACATTATCTGAAACTAGGAACGCTTTATTCAAATAAATAATGAAAAAACTCATAACACAGCTCATATCGTGAGATTTTTGAGAATGCGATATCGATGGTTCATAAAATTTGCAATTCAGAGTTCATTATACTGGTCTACAAACTTCGACAAAGAAAGAAATCTGAAAAAGGAAATTTTCGATCGTTTTTTATGTAATGATAGCTCCAACACTATTGTCTAAGTGCAGTACACAACTACAAATGTTAGCTTTCCTCGCTCGCCATGGAATGCGTTTTGAGATGCTCGTCATATTCCCTAGACGATTCAAAACTAACACTACAAAAGTCACAGGTGAAAGTTTCTTTAGAATTACTGCTGGTATCTTGCTCTCGTGTTGAATGGGTGTTTACGTTATTATCACGTTGTGAGTTGATGTTGTGGCGCTTCGTATGGGTCACTAGACAACTATTTTGTGTAAAAGCTTTGTTGCACACCAGACAAACGTAGGGGCGTTCCCCTGTGTGGGATCTACGATGAACTATCAGCGTACTCGAACCGTTAAAACCTACAACAAACACAAAACTTTGCTAAAAACAAACTAAATGTGATTGAAAAAGCTTTACCTTTATTGCAAATATCACATATGTGGGATTTTTCTCCTGTGTGCGTTCGCATGTGCTTCGTGAGTTCGTTTGACTGGCAAAATGATTTCTGACAGACGCAGCACACGTACGGCCGCTCACCTGTGTGGATTCGAATGTGAGCTATCAAGTTCGATCTGGTTGAAAACGCTTTCGGGCACATTGCACATTTGTGAGGGCGCTCTCCTAAAATAAATATTTTTATAAGTACTCACTGATAGAACACTTTGTTCCACTAAAGAAAAATAAAACCTCTACCTTTCCCTCTTGGTTCTCGTCAGAGCTGCGTAACCTAATTATATGTAAAAAACAGGTCCACAAACAATTTAAAATTAGTGGTAGGCAAGATGATTATGACCGTTTTGTGGCTTTAAGAAACCAGTGTGAAATTTTAAGAGCAGACTGTCAGAAACAGTATTTAGAGGGGATACAAAATAACATTTCCGATAATCCAAAATATTTTTGGTCTTATATTAAAAGCAAAAGAAATGGGTATAATATACCATCCAGAATGGTCTATAAGGATAGGGTTGGCTTAAATATAAAGGACTCTGCCAATATGTTCGTAGAATATTTCTCATCAGTCTACTCAGATGAACAAAAAGATACTTTACCTTTTTTTAATTTTGACAGTTCTATTTGTTTGAGTTCTATAATACTTACAGCAACTGAGGTCTATGATACTATTGCAAGTTGTAAAAATAGATTATGTGCAGGGCCGGATGGAATCCCAGCCTATTTTCTGAAAAAATGTATATGTGTACTTACAAAACCAATTTTGTTTATTTTTAACAGATCACTTGCTACTGGTAGACTGGTAGTCTCTGGAAGAAAAGTTTTTTAAAGCCGATTTTTAAATCGGGTGCAAGGAATGATATATCAAACTATCGAGCTGTCTGTAATCAGTCAGAGCTACCCAAGTTGCTTGATTGTTTGGTTAGTAAGAAACTGACATGGAGTTATAGAGGCATTTTTAATCCTGAACAATTTGGTTTTATGAGAGGGAGGTCAACAGATACCAACCTGGTTTTGTATGTCAATCATATATATAAGAGCTTTGAAGAGGGGTGCCAGGTTGACTCAATCTATATTGACTTTTCCAAAGCATTTGATCGGGTAAACCATGGGGTCCTCTTACAAAAACTAAGAGCTTTGGGTATTTTGGATCCTCTTCTTCAGTGGATTACAGAATTTGTTAGTGACCGTACGCAGACAGTTAACTTGGGAAGTGACACTTCCATTGAAATAACAGTTCCATCAGGCGTGCCACAAGGCTCCTATTGTGGCCCTGTTTTGTTTTGCTTGTTTCTGGTTGATTTAGTACAACAAATCAAAAATTGTAGTGTTCTTATGTTTGCTGACGATGTAAAACTGTTTAGAAAAATTCAATCCTGGAATGATGCTGTTATACTACAGGAAGATCTTAAATCGTTTTATGATTGGTGCACTTTAAACAAAATGTCACTCAATATAAACAAATGTCATAAAATGACATTCTCGAGGCAAAGAAATCCAATTACTACATAAATAACTTGCCATTGGCCTCGAAAAATGAAGTATTAGATTTGGGAATTTGGTTAGACACCAAACTGTCGTTCTCAATTAACCAAGTTACAAACAGAGCGATGAAAGTGCTGGGATTTATCCAACGCACATCTGTGGATCTGTCTTTATTTACATTTAGAAGACTTTATTGTGGTCTCGTTAGGCTCATTCTTGAGTTTGGATCAGTTGTATGGTCCCCATCATACCACTGTTACATTCAACAGATTGAAAGAGTCCAGAATAAATTTTTGAGGGTAGCACCCTATAAGAGTGGATACAGGAGAGAGGAATACGACTATCAGTGGGTAAGAGATAGTCTTAACTTACCAACACTTGAGTCAAGGAGGACATTGTTAGATTTATGTTTCTTACACAAAGTTATCAATGCTTTTATAGATTGTCCTCAACTCTTATCGCTTGTTAGTCTTAAAGTTCCTAGTAGAAGCAACAGACTGAAGTAGGGGGTTGGGCTGAAGGTTAACTACCTTCTCCTAGAAAAACCATGAGTTATGAACGTTCAAGGAAGAAAAGCCGGACTGATTAAACGACGACGACTGTGCGAGAAAAAGGAACACGATTTGAGGGTTGCAACATGGAATGTTCGAACATTGTACAGATTAGGGGCTCTCCAAAATCTCTTAAACGAACTAAGTAGATACAAAATTGACATAACTGCCATACAAGAAATGAGGTGGATTGGAAACAATATTATGGAAAAAAAGAGCCATACCATTTTCTACAGCTGCGCTCCTAAAGATCACATTTTGGGCACTGGATTCATAGTTAACAATAGAGTAAGACATATAATAAAAGACTTCAGAGCCATCAGTCCCAGAATGTGTATTTTAAGAACTAAAGGACGTTTCTTCAACTACAGCCTAATTAATGCGCATGCTCCCACAGAAGAAAAAGAAGAGGAAGTCAAAGAAGAGTTTTATGATGAATTAGAGTCCGCATACCAGTCATGCCCAAAAAGTGATATAAAAATAATTTATGGAGACCTAAACGCAAAAGTTGGAAGAGAGCAGCAATTCCAACCCACAATAGGTAAGCACAGACTCCATGAGCAATCAAATGACAATGGCAATAGGTTGGTAAACCTAGCAAGATCACTTAACATGGTGATTGCCAGCACATACTTCGCTCGAAAAGATATACACAAAGGCACCTGGAAATCACCAGACGGACTTACAGTGAATATGATAGATCATGTTATTGTAGACTCAAGACACCAATCGAATATAATAAACGTCCGTACCAGAAGAGGGGCAAATGCGGATTCTGATCACTACCTAGTCGAAAGTAGGATAAGGGCTAGAATTTCAAACATCAAAAAGGAAAGAGGCTCTAAACATGAACGATACAATATAGAAGGACTCAAAGAAACAAACAAAAATAGAGAGTACAAAGAAAATATAAGCATCAAACTAGAAAACAGACTAAAACATGAAAACCTAAATGAGGAGTGGGAAGAGTGCAGAGAAATCATAAAAGAAACAGCTAAAGAGGTGTTGGGCATGGAAGGTAAAGAAAGAAGAACAAGAACGAACCACTGGTTTGACGAAGAATGTCAAACTATAACAGAAAGAAAAAACAGAGCATATCTACAGATGCAACAGAGGCATAGAACCCGACAAGCAGAGGAAGAATATAAACAACTACGTAAAGAAGAAAAGGAAATTCACCGAAGAAAGAAGAGAGAATATATCAACAAAGAACTTCAAGGACTACAAGAACTAAGTAAACCAACAGAGACAAGAAAATTTTACCAGAAACTCAACAAAAGCAGAAAAGAGTTCAAACCGAGAACAACGATGTGTAAAGATAAGGAGGGTAATATATTGACAGAACAGAAAGAGATACTTAGAAGATGGACAGAACATTTTAAGGAAAAGCTTGGGGTGAATAGGACGGAGATGAACCCTGATATACCGTTAGACCAAGCAGACAACAGAGAAAAGAGTCCACCAACAATAGCAGAGATTAGAACAGCAGTGGACAAATTAAAGAACAATAAATCACCGGGATTGGATCAAATATCATCGGAGCTACTGAAAGAGGGAGGAGACGCATTACTTAAAGCCATACATGAGCTGATAAGAAAGATATGGTTGAATAAACAGCTACCAAAGGAGTGGAATAGCGGCATTATTGTACCACTACATAAAAAAGGAAACCAGTTAGAATGTGAAAACTACCGTGGAATCACGCTGTTGAATGCGGCATACAAAATAATGTCCAACGTAATGTATGAAAGACTTAGACCATACGCTGAAAAAATAGTTGGCAAATACCAATGTGGCTTCTATAGACAGAAGTCAACAATAGACCAGATATTTGTTCTGCGACAGATACTTGAAAAAACAAGTGAATATAACATCGACACACATCATCTCTTCATAGACTTCGAAAGCGCATATGACAATATAAACCGAGAATTCCTAATAAAAGCAATGAAAGAATTTAATATACCAACACAGCTAATAGAATTGATAAAAGAAACACTAAAAGTAGAAAGTAAAATCCGGATACAAAACGAATTAACGGAAACAATAGATGTGAAGAAGGGACTACGCCAAGGAGACGCTCTATCATGCATATTATTCAACATCATACTTGAAAAAATAATAAGAGACACAACAGTTAATACCCGAGGAACAATAATTAATAAAAGCGTGCAAGTACTAGCATTTGCAGATGATGTTGATATAATCGCAAGATCAAGAAGAGAAATGATAGAGGCATTCACTCAAATAGAACGAGCTGCAAAAAATAGTGGTCTTAAAATCAATCAGACAAAAACAAAATATATGCCTGCAAATAAAAACGCACAAATAAGGCAGCTGCCAAATTTAACAATAGGAGAATACAACATTGAGGCGGTAAAAAACTTTACATACTTAGGATCCCTAGTTACGTCTGATAACAACGTTGCAGAGGAAGTGAAGAGGAGAATATTTATTGCCAATAAATGTTACCATGGCTTAATTAGGCAACTAAGATCAGATAACGTCTCCAGAAAAACAAAATGCCAAATATACAAAACCTTAATAAGACCGGTACTCACATACGGTTCAGAAACCTGGACACTCTCTAAAAGGGAGGAAACGTTATTAGTCACCTTTGAAAGAAAAATCTTGCGACACATATATAAGGGCACAAAAGAAAACGGGATTTGGCGGAGAAGGTATAACTTTGAACTATACAACATATACCAGGATCCGGATATCATAACATTCATTAAAATAGGAAGGCTACGTTGGATTGGACATGTGGAAAGAATGGAAGAAGGCGAAATACCAAACAAAATATTCAAACAAGTGCCAGTAGGAAAAAGAACAAGAGGAAGACCGAAGCTGAGATACGTAGAACAAATAGAAAATGATATAACAACATTAAAAATTAAAAACTGGAAAAAAAAAGCACGAAACAGGTCAGAATGGAGAAGAATCCTTGAACAGGCCAAGACCCAAAAAGGGTTGTCGAGCCAGTGATGATGATGAGAAGCAACAGACAATCAGAAATCTTTTCGGTGCCATTTCACCACACTAATTATGGTATCAATGAACCAACTACACGATTGGTCCGAAGTGCTAATAGCTTGCCAAGACAAAAAGATATTTTTGACTCCAAAATTAGTTTGTTTAAAAAACAACTAAAAAATATCTTACAATAAGTTGGATGTACATCTGTATTATTCTTATATATTTGTATTATTCTGAGGTGTTTGTTATTTTAATAATTTATTGTTGTTAAGGTGTAACTTTGTAAAACTTGTGATTATTATTTTAATAATATATTGTTTTTAAGATGTAACTTTGTAAAAATTGTAAGTAAATGGATGCCGTATATAAATAAATAAATAAAATAAATAAATAAAGTAAGAAAAAGACATAGATCATAATCTTTATTAAAAGTAAGCTTTGATGTAATTTCATTATTCACCAATGTCCCAGTAGAAGAATAATTAGAAATTATATGTAGAAAATATCCAATACCTAAGGATACACTAAACTTGACGAGGCATTGCTTAAAAAACATCTATTTCATCTACAAGGACCAGAGGTACAAACAATTTGAAGGGGCACCGAAGGGTTCACCACTGTCACCCGTAATAGCCAACCTTATATGCAAGATATGGAATCGAAAGCAATAGAAACAGCAGAGCATACACCCAAACTGTATCTTAGGTATGTTGACGACATATTTATTATCTGGACGCATGGAGAAGAGAAACTTAATGAATTCCTACAGCACATTAAGAATATCCATCCAAAAATACAGTTTACCATGGAACGGAAGAATAATCAACAACTTCCATTCCTAGATGTATTCGTTATTAAAAAAGAAGACGGAAGCATAGGACATACAGTATACCGAAATCCAACCCTTACTGACTTACACGCAGACTCACACCATCATCCTGCAAAATTAAATTCGGTAATAAACACCTTAATAACAAGATCTGAGAAACTGGCAGATGAGGACCATAATAACGAAGAAATGTACAAAGTAAAAACAGCTCTAAGAAAAAATTGCTTCTCCACGTCTACGATTGAAAGGCACAGAAATCTCGAAACAACAGCAAAGATCCAGAAAAAGAAGAAAAACCAGTCGGAAAAACTATCCTGCCCTATATAAAGGGTACGATACACAAAATCAGCAGAGTGCTAAAAAAAAACAAAATAGAGACTATTTTTAACACTGACAGAAAAATCTCAACCATATTCCTCCCCCTCCCCAGTCTTAATCCCTTTTGGGATGTGGTGACACCATCAGACCTTCACAGTTTTTTTAGGATTTCCCTCCATCCTTCTCTGTCCTGGACTAGTTGTTCAGCTTCATGTAACCCTTGGTTAATCAATGTTTTTGTTTGATCTACCCAACGGCTTGGAGATCTTCCCCCTTCAACCATATTACCATCAGTAAAAACAAAAGTTGCATTGAAAAATCCCGTGTGACGACTGCGATAAATCGTACATCGGACAGACAAATCAAATGATAAAAGTTAGACACGAAGAACATCGAAACTCCATCGAAAGAAAAGAGAAGACTTCATCCCTAGAACATCATGTTATAAACAGAGTTCACAAAATAAACTTAAATGGAACAACAATGCTAGCCAACATCGAAAATAAGGCCAAACATGTATCAGGGAAGCCATAGAAATCGAAAAACATTCAAAAAATTTAAATACCAGAGATGATGCCCAAAGACTCCCAAATACGTGGAAACCAATTCTGCAGAAAATCGTAGAAATTAAAATAGAGAAGAAGACCCCGCCTCTCTGCGCACAAGAACGATCACAATCTAGTTTTCCAGTAGATCAGGAACATCCCTCTCTTTAATGACAGGTTAAAAATGTGAAAAAGAGGTTTAGAAAGTAAAAAAGCTAAAGTGTTTAATAAGAAAAGAAGGTGGAAGACCATCTGGACCTGACCCCTTGTTGTTATCCAAAATGGAAAGTTTTGCATATATAGACAAAATAGAAATGCTAAATTTTGATAGGTTAAAAAGGTTTCATCCTGCAATCAAAATCTTTATCACTATAAGTTCAGCAAATAAATTGACAATCTCCATGCCAGAAAAGCCAGAATTATTATTATAGTGCATAACATAAGGAATATTATTCCTGTTTTTTTTTTACTGTTAACAAATTTCTAGAAATTTTTAACATCATCTTTCAGAGAGGATTCAGTTAGAGCAACATAATCAAGACAGAATTGTTCTTTCAGTTGTTTAAAGTTAACTCGTAATAAAGAAAACTCATTATAGTCAGCAAGTAATTGAGATTCTAGATATTTTTTATGTATTTTCTTTTTTTTATTATTGTTCCTTTAAGCTCCGGAGAAAAACACATTAAATCACAATTGAAGTGTACAAAGAAGGCAAATAAATCGGCTAAGAACATTTTGGGTATAACTTTTGAAGCCGAGACTTCCATGATACCTATCAACCTCTATATTGAAAAAAAAAAAATGGGACAAAAAATGTTTAGCTTACAGATAAAGTGAAAAACAACTTAAAATATCACTCAGTATAGCATGCTCTCTTGACTTAACATCCTTAAATGAAACAATAATCATTTTTATTATATTTTTGGCTAGTTTTTAGGAAATTATGAATAAATTTTTTTAATTACATTACCTGTGTGTGTTCTCATATGTTTCTCTAAATCTTGGGCCTGCCTGCAGCCTTTGTCGCATACTACACACCTGAAAGGCCTTTCCCCTGTGTGCATTCTTAGATGGATCTTAAAATTACCGCTGTGAGCAAATCCTACAAAACATAAATTTCGGCTTTACTCAATTAGTCTCAGACCTAACTAATAAAAATCAAAAAACAAATTTTTAGACAATATTAGAATCAAAATAATTTCATTTTAGGTTGAACCACTGATTTCAATGTTACTTTTTTGACTATTAGCCAATTTTTTCACAATTTATTAAGTACTTTCTCATAAAAGTAATTCGAATTCTTCATTATAAGGGTACTAAATATTTGCCAGTCTTCATGTAACTCTAAATAGGTCAATTTAATTCCCTTTTTGAAACATGTACTTTGTAATTTGTTCTTTTTTTTAAGTACTTTGAAATTGTAAATTTTTAGTTTTCACATACTTACCCAAGATTGGTTAAAGGTTTGTTTGCAAGTTCTTCCTTCAAACTTATCTGGTATTGACTTCTGAGTGAAGTAGGGGATAGTGGTTTAATCCACAAATGCATATTGGCTCAAAAACTCACATTAATTGTGCTAAAACAGCTCTGAATTGTTCACTCGTTATTGAACCACTGTGCGCAAAAACTATATCCACTTCACTCTCTTTTCATTAACAATAGTAAAAATTGTAAAGACAGTTTCTTGTGATATCTGCATCATGTAGCTTTCAATTTATAATCATCCAAAATGATATTCTGGAAGTTTTGATGATTTTCTGGACAATTGCTGAATTTTTCCAGACTTCCAGACTAATCTTCAATTAGTCTTTGATCAACCAATTGTTTTGCTTGAACAGTATTTCTCTGTTGACATTTCAACCACTACTACATATTCCTACACCCACTTCTTTTATTGTTGCAGATAATCACTTGCAGGTCATTTCAGTCCTGTATCTGGGTTCAATTGGTTATACATCATCATCTATTCAGTAGATCTGATTTAATTCTCTAGGTATAGTTGAAAGCCATTCTTAGTTGGACACCCTATACAGTAGAAACATTATAATCTTCTTCTTCAGCCTGTGTTCGTCCACTGCTGGACATAGGCCTCTTCCATTTGCTTCCATCGATTTCTACTTTTGGCAATTCTCATCCACTGCTTGCCCGCGACTTGTTTGATATCGTCTGTCCACCTCTTCTGCGGTCTGCCTACTCCTCGCCTGTTCTCTCTTGGTCTCCAGTTCGTTAATCTTTGTGTCCATTTTTCGGGATTATCTCGGGCAACGTGTCCGACCCATTGCCACTTGAGCCTTGCAATATGTTCTGAGACATCAGTAATTTTTGTTCTTTCACGAATGACGTTATTTCGAATCCTGTCTCTAAACTAATCCCTAGCATGGCCCTCTCCATTGCTCTTTGGGTTGTACTGAGCTGCTCTAAGGTTTTCTTTGTGAAGGCCATGGTCTCCAGTCCATATGTAGTTACAGGCAAGATACATTTGTCATAAACTCTACGTTTTAGACACATTGGTATATCTTTATTCTTCAAAATAAAGCTTAATTTGCCGAAAGCTCCCCAAGACAGTTGTATGCGTCTTTTTATTTCGGCTATTTGATTTTCTTTGCCGATTTTAATGGTATGTCCAAGATATATATAGTGGTCTACATTTTCCAGACTGACGTTGTCGATAACAAGATTAGTTTGTAAATTACTCATTATTTTTGTTTTCTGAAGGTTCATTTTGAGACCTATTTTATTTGACTGCTGGTTTAATTCCTTCAACATTTGCTCCAGTTCCTTGATATCTGTACTAAATAATACTATGTCATCCGCAAACCTCAAATGACTCAAAAGTACACCATCAATGTTTAGACCTTTTTCCTCCCAGTCAAGCTGTTTGAATACATTTTCCAACGCTAAGGTAAAAAGCTTTGGTGAAATAAATGGCCTGTTCATAAATGTTTTTAATGAGTGTAGTGTACCGTGAGTCTATTCGAGCATCCTTCAGGGCTGACAAAAAGGACCAAGTCTCAATACTATCGAAAGCCTTGTGAAAGTCGATAAATGCCATATGTAAAGGTACATTATATTCTGTGGTTTTTTCTACTAGTGTTCTGATGGTTTGTAAGTGATCATTAGCACCAACAGAAAATTTATTAGCAGAAACATTATAATACTTAAAAAAAATGAAATATTTTTATTACTTCCTGTCCAATGACTTGAATAGTAGTTATCCAATTTTTTAATTAGAATTTATAATAGGTAACTAGATTTAAAATTTTACATTAGTCAATTAACACAATAAGATGTTTTCTACAAAATAGGCGAATAAACTCACAAATAATTTGAAAAATATGAAACATTTCAGCTTTATGACAAGTATGTTCACAGCCTTACCTTTATTGCAAACTTTACATTTATAAGGCAAGTCTGAAGCATGGGTCTTCATATGTCTGGTCAATTTGGTCAGTGTTGAAAATACTTTATTACAAGTAGGGCACTGCTTGCTGGTATCTACAGGGGTGGGAGACTGATTTATTTTTGCTTTTTCCTCCTCATCTTTAACATTGATGGTACTATTTGAAAGGTTAGTGAGCTGTTGGTGGTTTTGAGGCGGATTTAAGTATTGAATTTGAGGTTGTTGTGGTTGAGGATCCAGCTGTAAAGAAGTTTGTACTAATAAGAAAGCCAGTATGCATTCATAGTAATCACTGATACAGTCTAAAAGGGCTAAACATAAAAAAGTTGTATTTAAATCCTAAAACCAAAATTCTGACAGAAATGATCATGCAGATTTTTATTAATAATTTTTACTTAGTAATTCTTTCGAAATTATTTAAATAGACACTTTTTACTTAGTAATTCTTTCAAAATATTTAAATAGACACTTTTTTCTTGTAGATACAATACTAAAGAAATGATAAAATGTATGAAGAGTGAATATACAGTATATTCAATTTGGAAATGAAAATTTTCACAGTCTCAATTCATTTCAAAAGTTGTCAAGGATCTTGACTCAAATTTTTTAATGAAATTTATTATTTAAACTGTGACACTGTAATATCTACATATAAGTAGGGGGCTTACAATAAAAATAAGTAATTTAAATAATGGTTTTAGCTCACTTGCAATGACTGAATTTCTTGATTATGCAAAACCGCAGTATGTTCCAAGGGCATATTATAACTTCCATTATATACTTGTACATTCCCCACACTATCTACATTGTAGCCACTAAGCTGATTGTAGTCTAACTGCGAAATCTGTTGTTCAGGTTGACTAGGAGGGATAAAATTGTTTTCATGGCCAATACTATCAATAATGGGATTGCATTCAATGAAAACGCAACTATTTTCTGGTACGGGCTGAGTATATTGAGGTAAGTTCGGAGTAGATTGCTTTTCAACACTTTGGATTGGAGGATTTTGTTGTTGTAGTTGTTGTTGTTGCTGCTGCTGTTGTTGTGCTTGTCTCTCATTGATTTTATTTAGCTGCTGGCGTAATTTACCGTCTGATTTTTCACATAATTTTTTGAACTGGAAGGATATGTGTAATTTGGCTGAGCACTTTTGGCAAATTTGGGTGGGCAGGCCATCATACTGCCAAACCTTTAATACATAAAATAGCTGTTAAATTCACTTTACATAATAACAAATAAGCATGTAACTATGAATATTATTTGATTATGAAAATCAGTTATTTTTAAACAAATAAGACTGTTATTCATAATTTTCTTGTTGATTTGCATTTAATAATATGAATGAAAGTAGTATAAGCATATTGGCCTTAGTGTCCTTACCTGGATTGAGGCACAGGCCATTAATTTTTTGGAAATGTTTACTTTGAAAATTGACATCATTACTCCTTCATTTAAACATACTCTACAAATTTTCTGGAAATCTAATTCCTCTTCCATTATAATATTTGTTTACGGTTTAGTATTTCAGTCTGTATAGCACAGTCTAACTTCCATTACCAGGTGTCATATGTCACTGTCAACTGGATATTTACTATTGTATGGATGGAATTTTCTTGAGGTTTTCTCAATTCAGGAAAATCAAAATTTATAATACAAAAAAGACAGTCAAGCTTTATTTATCGTTTGCTTGATTTGAAAATTGTAGAAGGCACAGATTTGGTTGCTAATCTGAATTTTGGTCTCTAACAAGTAGTAGAAATCTTCGAATTTTTACTTTTTTCCTTTGTTCACAATTTTTAACGTTACAACTATTGATCATAGGTGGCGTTACCAATTACACAATTAAAATTAAAAAGGATTTCGAATTATGGGTACCTAGAATAATTATATTATTAGGTTTATTAAAGGATTAGGATTATATTTTTGTTTACGTTTTTTTTTTGATTTATTTTGCACGATCGTATGGTTCCTCAGTCTTTTTAAACAAGTTATTTCAATGTTTATTATTGATGGATAATTGAATTGTTTGTCCAATCTCTTATTTTATCGACTGAAATTTGTTACTTTGTGCTGCTTCTTCATGATTTTGTTTAATTGATAATATATGTAGCTTTGTAATCTGCAAACTTCGGTATTATATTTTTCTACAGGTCAGGGATAATAATAAAAAAAACAAAACAATCAAAAGAACAAAGAAAGAGGAAGTCTACCACGAGAATAAAAAACATCTAAAAAAATAAATTACTGAATAGGAAACCGAAAACGCAGATATATAAAATAATAATTCGACGATAGTGTATTTCTCATGAAAACTTCAAGGTAATAAAAAATTAGAAGACCTTAGATTGTGCACCATGTGCTACTAAAAGAAAAAATGAAGATATAGTATGTAAAATAAGACAATAGACAGCAAAATTTCGAGGACTTACAGTGCGATCAACGAGCAATATTCTCAATATTAGAATGGTACAAGGACAGCAAAAGTAGGCGTGGAAAACCAAGACCCACGTGACTGTAATATAGGTATACTCAGTTCGCTATTCTCAGTCCGAACTGTCTAGTGAATTTAGTAATTATTTTTTTGCGAAGTTAGTTACTTTCGGTGCTTTTGACAGACTAAAAGTGGCTGGAAATTACTATACAATCAAGCACACGTGCTTATCGCCAATATTAATAGTAAACTAACTAAATAGTAAATAAAATAGAACTTTGCAAATTACAGACAATTAAAACATATTTTTTAAATATATACTACCCAAAATTTGATGGGTTTAGTATACACTTACACTATTTAGAATAATTCTTCTTTTTTCAAAAAAAGAAGTCTGCAATAGTATTTTTTTATAGTATACTTGAGCTATTCTCCATTCGCTTAGCTAGGGCATATTTTGACAGACTCATTGTCGGAAACCTACAACACAACAATTCCTACTTCTCAGTATTAATAGCTCAAGTATACTACTATTGCAGACTTCTTTCTTTGAAAAAAAGAAGAATTATTCGAAATAGTGGAAGTGTATACTAAACCCATCAAATTTTGGGTAGTATATATTTAAAAAATATATTTTAGTTGTTATAATTTAACATAAATATTTATTATATGGTGCAGATAAATAAATATTGATTGTCTGTAATTCGCAAAGTTCTATTTTATTTACTATTTAGTTTTTTTACTAAGAATATTGGCTATAAGTACGCGTGCTTGGTTGTATAGTACTTTCCAGCCACTTTTAGTCTGTCAAAAATAACTAACTTTGCAAAAAAATAATTACTAAAATCACTAGACAGTTCGGACTGGAAATAGCGAACCGGGTATATTAATACTGAGAAGTAGGAATTGTTGTGTTGTAGGTTTCCGACAATGAATCTGTCAAAATATGCCCGAGCTAAGCGAATGGAGTATAATAGAATCAATGACGTATAATATATAGACTACGCAGTCCCCTATTCTCGCTATAGAATCGAGTGTCCGAAAGATCTCGGCTCAAGGTTGAAGGTATGTTTATCAGAACAGCGGCGTGCTCATTTATATGTTAATGAAAATAATTATTTTTTTTTTAATTAAAATTAAATATTTATGATTTCTTTTTGTTCCCGTCTATACGAGAACTAATTATATTGATAAAATAGTATGGCATTTTACTAAAATACTAAGTAAATAACTCTCAACAATTTAAAATAAAATTTGCTTGTCACACAAAATGGAGAAAATGTTTTCATACGTCCATGATGTTTTCAAACACAAGAAATCATGAACTTCGTGCATCTTCGTATCAAAACAATAAACAATAACAAAGGTATTCATGTTTTGGACACTTTTTAAAGCGTTCACAAAGTCTATATATTATACGTCATTGAATAGAATATAGTGTAAGGCGTCATTGCGTCAATAAGTTATTTCATCGATGACATACCATGGACACTTTTGCTCCCTATAATAAGGCCAGAAAAAGTTGAAGTAGGTGGAAAAATTCATTAGGTGTAAAATTTATATTATAATCCACAAGACATAAATCGAAATAATGTGTCGCATCGCATATCACGTAAGTCAATTGACCATTATAGTCGATTCAGTAGCCTTGGAAATATTTTGACAGAGTAAAAGTAAAAAAAACAATATTGTATATAAGTACATTTCACCATATGCTAAAAATATTACCTACTTAAAAATAAAGTTCATTCGTGATATTTTTGTTTCGTCGTTGAGTGCTTAAAGCGATGTGCCTCCCTTCCGACTTTATAAACACAGAAGGAATAAACACAATACTATTTTTTGAGCCATTTGCATAAATTTTAGATCATCTACTTGGTAACCCATTAAGAGTACAACTCCATTACATAAAGGGTTTGCAGACACGACCGTGTGGAAGTGGAAGAAGACGGAAAATCCCGTTTCGAAATAAACGAAACGAATGAGTGAAATTTCTTCTTTGGACTAATTTTATGTGCAGGGATGGAGTCGGGAACGGTTTTTTATAATCAAAAAAACGGAAATTAGTGTTATTTAAACAATTGGGTGGTTTATAATAGTCATTGTTCTCATAATAAGAACCAATCAATCAATAAGGCGACAAAGAAAAATTACTTTAAAAAAGAAATTATGAAAAATAATAAGTCTTTAAAAAATATGTGGAAAATAGTAAATAAATATACTTAATAGTGAAAATGTTAATACTCAAAATATCAAAGAAATACTTACTGCAAATAACCAATGTATTACCGACACAAATGAGATCGCCGAGGAATTTAACAAATATTTTTCAAAAGTTGGAGAAACATATGCTCAGAGGATAATAAAACCTCCTTCTCGACCACCAAAGAGAAACGTTACAATAAATTCCTTCTTTTTATCACCTGTGGATGAAAATAACGTTGTTCAGATTATAGCCTCATTAAAATCGAACAAAGCTCCAGGAATAGATGGTATTAAATCTGAAGTACTTAAAGAACTATCGCCAATACTAACTGGTCCCATTACTTATTTATTAAATAATGTATTTTCTAGCGGCAAATGGCCCGAACAACTTAAGCAAACAGTGGTGATTCCCATTCATAAGAAAGGCGATCCAAAATTAACAAATAATTACAGACCAATCTCACGAATCACTTCACTTTGCAAGATATTGAAAAAAGCTATAAAATATCAACTAGTATTATACTTAGAAAAATATAAGTTAATTTCAAACAAACAATATGGTTTTAGGAAGGAAGTATCCGCGGAGAATGCAAAATCGTACCTATCTAATAAAATTTAGGGGAGAGTCCTACAGTACCGTCATATTAAGGTTTATCAACAAAAAAAATCAAAATGCTAAAAGGTACATGTTTAATACTTCCTGTCATGTATGAAAGGACTATTATGCTGTCAATGAAAGTAATAAACAATCATAATGTTTCAAAATAATCACTTTATTAATGAAAATTAAAGATAAAGATAAGGCCAGTAAATATATTACCAATTAAACAATACAGAAATCACAAATATATTGTTTGGATAGCTCTGATATGTTCGCACAAGCCTCATGAACCCAAATATTACAGTTTCCACACTGTATCCAGTCCTCTTCATGAGATTCAGTGCACAAAGGACAAACTGTCTCTTTTTCAACCGGTCTGCTAGGAGGAGGTAGGTTTTCATCTTTATTTTTCCTACTTTTCTTACTAACATATCTTCCTGACAACAAGCTTTTACCTTTTTGAACATATTTTCCTAAGACCTTATTTTTTTTGTTAACGTCATTTTCCACAAGTAAATTCATCCCTCGTTTAAGTGATTCGACGCTTGTTTTGCCTGCTTTTTTCTCTTCCAGCATTTTTTTGTATGGAGAACCAGTTATAATTTCGCTTTTTCAGCTTTACGACGCCGGGCAGTTGCTCTTCTTTTAGAAGCATCAGGAACCGGTGAGAGTTCTGTAAGTGTAGCTTTAAAATTGTCTGTGGATAGGTCAATTTGTAGCTTCTTCTTGAGATTCTAATTGCCGCAAAAAAGCAATTTGTGATTCTCCATTAGCAAGAGTAGTTTGGTTGTCGGAATGCACAGAATTTGTAATATGGGCTACGAGATCAGGAGCAGGAGTAGTAGATGTTGGTTCTAGCAGTTGGGAAGATGAAGGCAACGGTTCTGATGTTAAAGGTGTTGCTTCTAGCAGTTGGGAAGATGAAGGCAATGATTCTGACGTTGATTGTTATTCTGTAATGTTGGTTATGTTAGAACAAATAAAGTCCAAATCATTAAAGACATTTTTATCAAAGGGGTGTATGCCTGTGCAACGAAAGCCACTAACTGGGGTTTCCATTCGAGAAACTCGATTAAAAGCTGAAGCAACTAAGCCAGCAATCTCGTATTCACTGATTCTAATACCGGGATTTAATCTCATCCACAAGTCACATGCATTATTATAAGCAGATTTAAATGGCTTCATGAACGTACGATCCAGTGGCTGTAGCTTATGTATGTGGTGGGGTGCTAAGCATATGAATGTTATTTTTCCGGGCAAATTCAATAACATCTAAGTCCTTATGACTCGCATGTC